CTGACAATACTGGACAAAAGATGTTGTGAAGGGATTCTCAGGGTTTTCATACTGTTACAATCAGTGATTAACTTTAATAAACACTAGAAATATTCAATATTACCACTGAATCCGCACTAGACACTACTATTCCCCCTGAAATGGCTTTTAAGACAACAGCTTCTAATATCAACCAAAAAATCAGGACTAAGCTACAAAAACCCGTAGGGAAGTATGATATATCAAAATTCCTTAGCACCCTTCACCGATTGTATTCTGTATTTGAGGGAGTGCAAAAACAGTATCAAAACCTAAACAGGAAGAGCAACGCACTGCGCTCACTAGAGCGTTTAAATCCCGAAATCCGCGTCGTCTCCTTGAAAGGCGCATGAGAAAGAGTGTGGATCAAAACATTTACTCTATACTGTTCGATGGTGTGACGTATTATAACCAAATTGTTAATGTGAACTACTTGGTTAATAGTTTTCCCACAATAGGAATAATCTCATACCCCAGATTGCAATGTCAAGTTCATCAGCACAAATAATCCTAATACCACTAACTTTGATCTTGGCAACATACACACGCCACCAGAACGTTGTAGCCAAATGCAAGTTTTAGTGCAGATGACACCTCATCTATCTTTTACAAAATGGTAGGACCGAAAATAAGGATACTATTACTCAAGGTATCTACACTACCCTCAGAGACAGGGGCGTATCTCGAAATCAGGAAGGTAACGTGTGTTATCCTCAAACACAAATCAGGACCAAAAATGTAATTCAGAACTACAGACCTATAAATATCAACCCAGTTATATTATGCACAATGGAAAAATTGATGCAAGATCCGTTATCCGATCATCTATTTTAGGAACGTCTAATCGACTCGTTCCAACACGGCTTCACTGGAATAAGGCCTTTGATAAGGTACTTCATAATCTCCTAATCAACATACTTCAATCGGTCGGAATTACTAACTTTCTATTGCGATGAATGAAATCTGTCACAGACAGACACTCTATGACTAAAATAAACTTCACAGGGTCTATACCGTGACCAGAAACCAGGGGTATATTCTGGGTTAGCGTCCCCAGCCTCTTGCCTTTTACAACCCACATCATCAATATATTCAGTTGCTTCAACAATGGAGAGACCTGGAATTACGTTTGTGATATACAAAGTATTACTCAAACAATTCAGTATGAAATCAGCAAAATTGATAACTGGTACAAACGCTAAAGCTCAGAATTGAAAACACAGGGGGATGTGGCTAATTATGTATTGAAGACGTCTATGGAAATATAACAATGAACACACCGCCCAGAGCCGCTTAACTAACTGACCTTGGAGTTAATTACTAGCACAGTCTAGACACTCCAAAACATATCTTCACGAAAGCATCTAAAACGCGAAAATTGCTAGGGTTCATTCTTATTAACCTCTTAAAAAGTGAGTCTAGCATCATTCTTTACAAGATATCTGTAAGACCTAACACTGTGTATTGTTCGCCCTTATTTTCAGAATTACGTCAATCCGATATACTGAACGTCAAAGGAATACAACGGAATTTCGCCCGCAAAAGGTTTAAAATTGACTCACTCACTGAACATCAGCCTAGACGTCATACCCTGTCGGTATTCATTATCATGGAAACAATTGACTCCCTTCTTGTTTATTTACTTTATGAATAGTTATATGAAGCAACAACATGATTCAGAATATCTGACGCTCTATGAAGTATGAGTTATTAATTAGAAAACGTTTCTGTCTAATGTATATTCATGTCATAACTGCTTGATTTACGCGTTGTATTGACCAAAGCTTTTGGTTCAGTGTTCGCTACAGATCTATGAAATTACGTCAACTTCAATGCTGGGCCCAAATTATTTTACAGACCAACCATGTTAGTCGAGGTATTGGTGCTGTTTCGTGTTCCTTTGATTATATAACCGTTACTATATAAGTGTCGCCCTAATCTCCGTCATTTGCTTTTCATTCATTATAAGATTATTTTTAATCGTGTCCAGTAATGAGTTGTGTTAATTCGTTAATATGCGTAAGTGTTCATCTTCAGGGTAAAAAACATCAACGTGCTTCATAATCACTGAATGATTCATGGTGAAAATCTATTCTGATTAGCTTAGTCGTAATCAGGCGTACAACTGCCGAAACTGATCAAGTTAAGGTCTGGTCAGAAAGATAAGTCCTAAAATGCATGCACCAAGGGACAACCAGCTGGAGTTTGATCAGTGACGTCATGGAGTGTCAAGAATCTAGACAAGTTAAAACAAAGCTTCAAAAGTTGACAAAACAGACACCACAGGAATGAGCTTAGTACGCACCATGAATCAGATGTTCAACATGGAGCTGAGTGCCAGGCTGCGACTGACAAACAGGTTGGAGAGGCCAAAGATAAACTTCGCGAAGGAAAATGACTGAGAATCCTGCCTGTGGATCCGTAGAACGTAAGCTGGGGTAGAACGGTTGGTAGACCAGTCTTGGTACATGAGATTATGATAGCACCTTGTTTATTATGATGATAAAAGACTACCTGAACCTCTGTTACTAACGTTTCTGAACAACAACCAGGGAAACTCAACGTGTTGAGAATGCTAATATGATATTAGGATGTGAAATTATGACCAGCTACTAAATATTTGTGAATTTTTTGTAGCTTTCATTCAGTTGATGGATCAAGACAAGGTTTAATTTAATGCGCTAGATCCAGAGAGGTTCTCACTTTGGTTGTTGACATATCTGACAGTTAGTCGCTGAGTGATGCATGGGAGCATTGTAAGCTAAGTAGCGCTAATATTGCAAGCAATCGTCTAGTAGACAAGTTATGGAAAGAGATAAGGTGACGTGTAGGATACTCATTGAGAATGACCAAACTATGGTTATCCGTCGTGCCGGAAGAAGGCAGAGTAAGTATGATACGTCAATAATAACCAGACTACATAAAGAAGCAAAATATTTGATACATGGCGAAGCAATCATACAATAGTCTCTAGGCCAGTGGTTGAAATATCCTGCTAGTTTCAGCCTTCTGTTTATTTTCTGTGGTTGTGAATCACAGATATTTATACAATACGTCCCATGGTGGTTATAAATTCAATGATGCAAGTGATAGGTTGAACACAGACAATAACAGATGTCAGATGATTTCTGTAACTTGTATCACCGGGTACTCCAACAATGGAGTTGCAGGATACGTGATATATTATGACATTTTTAAGTCACGCTGCCTGCAACAAAAATTCTATCAGTTATGCAGAATAAACAGGAATATTCTGTCGCTTATCATAATAATACCAGTGACATGGCTTTATCCTATAGCTCCACTAAACCACAATGAAACTAACCAAGCAAATTCGAATGTGACCGGGTCAAAGGGATGAATTAATGTGATTACATCAACATCTGGTACGACTAAAGTCATCAGCAGCACAAGTCAAATAAACGAGAAAGGGGGCTTGGTGGTCCTTTTCATCAAGGAGTGTCCATAGAGGGCACGTCAATATTGTTGAACCTGGTTTGATTTCATTAACTTACGTTTGCTCAGCTTTCATAATATCAACAATGTTTGTCTGATGAAAACAATCTACAGCAGGTTCCTTTGTTTTTAATCAAACAGATTAAATGCCATGGACGAACAGGATAGAATACAGAATAAAAGAAACGACAAAATATACACTGCTTTTGAGGAATCAATGTGCATTTACAACAATTAGTCCCTTTGATAAATTTCGATAATGCAATGAGAAGACGAAGTTAATCAGAATTATATGATATATTTGCGCAATACATTTCGAACAATCTGATCACACATATGCTTGTTATGAACATTTATATATGAAAATTAAAAGGTCAACTAGACAGGTTAAGGGTAAGTCATAACAACGGAAAAATAATAAAGTACACAAAAACAAATGTGATTACCACTCCGGATGATAAATCAGTATTACCAGGGTATGTTAAATGTATGGACAGATCGTTTTTGAACACACAAAGAGGGTTTCAATTTCCCTATTGCCAATGCTTCAATTAAAAGCTCTATGTGTTCAAAAACAATCTGTCCATACATTTAACATACCCTGGTAATACTGATTTATCATCCGGAGTGGTAATCACATTTGTTTTTGTGTACTTTATTATATTTCCGTTGTTATGACTTACCCTTAACCTGTCTAGTTGACCTTTTAATTTTCATATATAAATGTTCATAACAAGCATATGTGTGATCAGATTGTTCGAAATGTATTGCGCAAATATATCATATAATTCTGATTAACTTCGTCTTCTCATTGCATTATCGAACATTTACAACCCCCCTATCGGTCCTACCTTCTCAAAACGCCTCCATATAATTTAACTAGGAATCTCCCCAGAAGCTACCTGAGGTTGCATATAGATTTTTCGAAAAATCTACACGTTCTACCCTTTATTAGCATATGCTCCGCCACCTGAAGCAGCAAGACAATATCCATAAAATTCAGTAAATATACTCTTATCTCTGAAGATGCCTATATGTTTATCAATTTATTCTGAGTTTTCTGAGTTGGAATACATTACATTTATAACAAGAAATAATAAACCATTTGGAATTTAATCCTCTCAAAACAACCCGACTCTGATCGACCTTTCTAGAAGCATATATCACGATGAAACAACACCTAATCTTGTTAGTTTAAGTTAGTACCTCAGTAATTCACTGTTTCGTGACCAGTTTATGGTGTGTTCTTTGATGAGGATAGTCAAGGCTGAATATAATGAAGTGTGGTTAACTGCTCCTTATTCATTATTTACGATGTCACATCAAACCATTCTTGTCGTTTTTTAAGACAGTCAACTAAGAAATCGAATATTTCCCAAAACATTAGTCTTCAAAACATTTCGAAAATTAGTGAACTTTATATTTGAACTAATACAACTCTAGCTACTTGACTGTTGGTACTTCTGATTTTGTTTAGCAGCAGTTCGTTTGTTCGTATAATTGAAGTTCACCTGACTGTTGGCGCCAAACTGGGTACGTCCGTTCTTCTGTCATCTTGTTTTCTGCACAGGTTATTTAGTAATATTTGTCATCAAAGCATTTGTATAGTGGTTGAGTGTCTTCTGCAGCATTTTATTCACTTCCAATGCCATTCCATATAAGCCTGCTTACTATTAAGTGTCAACTCTTAGATTGTGACATCGTTGTACTCATTCCATTGTGACACACCCTGATCAGGTTTTCTAGCCTTCAAGTCCAAACTACTTAGACTTCTAAAGCTTCTGCTTATCATGTGGTTTTTGACTAGCTGAGGTGCGAATTGAGTTTTCTGAAATTCAATAAGTAATACTGGATTCAAAGTTGCCCTGTTCAAACTTCCCATGTAAGCGGTTGACACATCCAAATAATAGCGTTAGCAATTTCCGCAACGTTTTTGTGATATACATTGTAGTTAAGTCTTGCTGTACTTAAATTAGCCGGGAAGTTTGTAAAGCCACGTTTTGCTAGTAATCCTTAAAATGAGTAGTTTTGCCTTAATTTCTAAGCTTAACTAAAACCAAAAAAGAAGCATCTTGTTGTTTTTCACATATAACCTTTGGTCTAAATAACCCTGAGAACGTGTCTATATAGCCACAGTCACTGGGTACGATAATTATTTTCGAGATTTGACTTTTGATTCTCTACTTTCGTTCCTGTTCGGTAAAAATGCCCCCTTTCACTACGACTCCGTTAATCCTAGGGTTGTTATGCTTACGCTATTTATCTAAAAGCTTTGTTCAACACATGACACTATTTTGGTTCATCTAGCTACATGGGGTTGCATTTGTCCCGCCAAAATGAGCTTGTTTTCTCCATACTGTCTGAATCTACATTAAAGCATACACACCATAAGTTACCTGAGGTCGAGCAAAGTTCATGATCTAGTCACTTTATTTAGTTTACTAAATGTAAATGAACAGAAACGGTCTCAAGATGCTTAAAATAATTCGGTTCTGTAACTTGCAATAGGATGTAGAGTTGGTTAAATTTCGGGAGCAATCGGTGATCCAAAAAACTAGTAACTTAAACTAAATCAAAGGGAAAAATGAACAACTAGGAATATTGGTTCTATAAGAAATGAGAATTTTCAGCTCTAACCAGACACATAATTGTATAAATTGGATATATATTCACTCCTATATTGTGAAAATGCCCAACTCTTTTCCAAATATAGTGCGGCTTTTTAATGATCATGATACAATTTCCAGTCAGTAGGTCACAAGCTTGAATCCCACTTCATTTTGAGTATTTGATAGTATACTACACCTCACAGAATATGGCTAAATTGAGTAAGTAAATCTGCATCGAACATCGTACAGGTAATACGTCACCATTGATGGCTTTACAGAAATCATCTGGATTCAGTAACTGCTTAACTGAAATATTTTGTTTCCCAGTATGAATATATGGTTAATCTTGGCCATCATTTTTCATAGTGATGACTGGTGTTCTGAATAATGTGTCTCACGTTGGCAACGGGACTTCTAATGCTTCTATCAAAGCAGAAGAAGACGACATCCCTTTATCTGAAAAGTTAAAGCGAAGTAGAATGCATTCGTCCTCTAGCGATGACGATGATATTCCTCTGTCTGCCAAGTAAGACATATTTGCTAGCTATCTACTTCGTCTCAGATTAGCCCAGATGTCCAAAAAGCCAAAATTGGAACCTCCAGTTTCTCCACAGGTAACTGATTCATTTTTCTAATACAGTCATAGCCTCGTAATAAAAGCCAAGGTGATCAAAGAAAAGAACATTCAAAGTCTTCAAATGAAAAGATTAAAAAAGAAAATACACTTAGTTCTCCTAGCAAAGTTAGAAAGCATGAAAAACCTGAAGAGGAAGTTTGGAGGTGGTGGGAAGAGCAAAAGAAAGATGACGGTGTCAAGTGGAAATTTTTAGAACATAAAGGTCCACTTTTCGCCCCTCCTTATGAACGCTTGCCTAGCTCTGTTCATTTTCACTATGATTCCAAACCTATCAAGTTATCGGATCATGCAGAAGAAGTTGCAGGGTTTTACGCACGTATGTTAGATCATGATTATACCACAAAGGAAGTGTTCAACCACAACTTCTTCCGTGACTGGGTGAAAGTAAGTAATTTGTGTTTCATATCGGATTCCGTTAAATAGACAATGAATGAAGAAGAACGTCGAACCATTAAATCCCTTAGCAAATGCGATTTCCGCGAAATGCACCAGTATTTTCTTAAGTTAAGTGAAGAAAGAAAAAACCGAACTAAGGAGGAAAAACAGAAAATAAAGGAAGAAAACTTACAAATTCAAAATGAATATGGCTACTGCATATTGGACGGACACAAGCAAAGAATCGGGAATTTCCGTATTGAACCTCCAGGCCTATTTCGAGGCCGTGGCAACCATCCTAAAATGGGCATGTTAAAAAAGCGTATTATGCCTGAAGATGTCATCATTAACTGCTCAAAAGACTCAAAAGTTCCTGCTCCTCCAAAAGGTCACAAGTGGAAAGAAGTAAGACATGACAACAGTGTTACTTGGCTGGCATGCTGGACTGAAAATATCCAAAATAGCTTCAAATACATAATGCTGAATCCATCCTCTCGTCTTAAGGTTGGTTATGCATCGAGATTAACAATTATTTTCCAGGGTGAAAAAGATTGGAAAAAGTACGAAACTGCTCGTTGCCTACACAAGGTAATCGACAAAATTAGAGCAGACTACCGAGCTGATTTCAAACACAAAGAAATGCGGATACGCCAGCGGGCTGTTGCACTATATTTTATCGATAAGGTAGATAGCCCCTAACTTTTAAATTACTTTTATGCAATTATAAAAACATGAGTTTTCTGCAAATGTTTACCGTACGGATGGAATGTGACAGCTAATAACGAGCTAGTGTGATGATCGTCAATACGACAATCATTAAATGCATACTCAAAACCTTGTTATCTTTCCTTTTGTTTAGTTTCTACTTATTACAGAGATATGTTACTGATAAATGCCTTATTAAGCGTTCATTAAAAAGCCTTATATGTACATGGGCTACATTGATTTTTTTAGTAAGGGTTCATATCACTCTTTGAAATGTTCTCCATTCTTTAATAGCACAAACGCCTCTCATAACAACAGTCAGGTAAAATACAGGGCTTAGATTTTCGAATTCGAAAATACAAAATATATGATTAAATATCTCTTTTGGAGTGGCAACCTAATCATTAGTAAAGGAAACAGTTGTAAGTCTTGATATTATAATGGTTACTGCATCGTCTACGACTGTTACAACTCATACTCCTGACGATCTTATACAGCTACTTATGATTCTCGTCATTTTTCCACTTCCGATTGTAGTTGGCTCTTCGTGCTGGGAATGAAAAGGACGAGGATGAAGCTGATACTGTTGGTTGCTGTTCACTTCGCTATGAACACATAAAACTCCATGAAGAGTTGAACGGACAACCTTATGTTGTTGAATTCGATTTTTTAGGTAAAGATTCTATTCGCTATCAAAATGCCGTATCCGTTCCCAAACGCGTCTTCAAGAATGTCAAACTATTTCTGAAGAACAAAAAAGAAAATGACGATTTATTTGATCGACTTAATGTAGGTCTTTCAAGATTTTAGTATTATATACAAAACATTTAGACGAGTGTCCTGAATCAGTATTTACGAGAACTTATGGATGGTTTAACTGCCAAAGTATTTCGTACGTACAATGCAAGTCGAACTCTGGAAGAGCAGTTGGAACGGCTTACCAATCCTGATGATCCTCCTCATGCTAAACTTCTGGCATATAATCGAGCAAATCGAGCAGTTGCTGTTCTCTGTAACCATCAGCGTTCAGTTCCGAAATCTTTTGCAAAATCAATGGAGAATTTGCAGAAAAAAGTATGTGAAATTTGTGCAAGTTATTTATAAATTTTATACCTAGCCTGTCATTGCTAAAAACCTTGTCTGTGTGGTTACTATCTTTTCAGTATTCGAATTAAACTGACTTTATAAGTGTTTACAACCTTGATTTTGAACCTATAACATTAGCCTTTCCCTTACCTAGATTTGACCAGCATCAAAAATGAAAAGTTAATCCAGTTAGTTCACATTAAGTAATTATAAAATGTCTGTTCAACAGCCTTTTTTAATGCGCTCTGATAGTGGTGCTTATGGTGTGCTTCCTTCTACTTAGTGAAGTGTAAGCTAAACTAAACACTTGTGTTTTTTTCTTTGCACCACCAGAGGGATGTTGACATTTAATTGAGTACTATATTCACAAATCCCAACACTAATCCTATAATTTCCGATACCAGATACAAACTTTCCAAGAAATTGAAGTGTCCAAAAGAAGATGCATATTTCTAGCGACAGTATCCTGTAGCCAAAGTTGAATTTGAATAAAAAATATGTCAGACAGTAGTCGGTCCAAGTTATTAATTGACTACGCACCTGTCATTTTAGTTCGACTCAAAATACCTCTTTATCGTTTATTTTATTTTTCCACATTCATTCTCTTATTTTCCTGAAGTTTATTTTTAAAAATATAATGCATTTTTCTGGTAAATCCCAATTTATTGTTTGCCAAAATCTTTAAATTGTCTTGTACAAACATGAGTGGTCTATGAAAGATCAAATTTATTAGTTAGTTCCTTGCTTACATTCTCGGGATGCTGGAGTTTAATATTTGTAAGCGAAATCCCTTTGCCTTGTTTTTAGACGATTGCCACCAAGGTTTATCTTCACTATTCGTCGAAAGAGACAAATGTCAACCAGTTTGCCCTGCCTTCCTTTATACAACAAATAGATAAAATGTTTCTCATCTACTGGTGATATTCATTTCATATTGCTATTACCGTTTAGCTTTGTCAATTTAACACAGTTTAATGTTGCGTCCAGTAAATATGCCCTACATTTTTATGGGTTAAGGGAAGTATGCCACCACTGAAATGCTCATGTTCTTAAAGATTGACAAAGTATTACCTTGTACAGAATAATTTTATGTGAAGGGTAACTGGAAAAGATGTCTGGTGATGTGTTCAGTTAAAAGCATACATGTTGTTCACCGTATCAACAGAAATATGTGTTAGGGCCTGATAAACGAATTCCTAAGTGTCTTCTGTTTGCTTTTTTATCTATTCTTTATTGGTTAGTAAGGTTTTTTTCATTTGACAATGCAATCACTCTAGCTAAATAGGGATTTTCGAACAATCTATAGTTTGTGGTGAGTGTTAGATAGCACTACGATCATTACTACATAAGCATCGCTTTATTATTAGTGTTTTTTCATTGTAATAGATCAGGAGAATAAAAACTTGTTTACTGTATATTTCGTTTCGATCCTTTTCAAAATTTATATGTATCTAAATCTGTGTTTGCACTGATTTCATATTTTGAAGGTTCAAATACCGTACAATTCCTCATCTTATATTGCAGATCGATGCAAAACGTGAGCAAATTTCGGAAATAACTTCTGAAGCTAAACAAATAAAAGCAGATTACAAAAATCACAAACAAGCATCCAAGAAGGTCGCTTATGAAAAGCTGAAGAAACGCTTAGCATCTGCTAAAGAGGCTTTATCAAAATTGCAGCTTCAAGCAACTGATCGAGATGAAAATAAAGAGATCGCTCTCAGTACAAGTAAACTGAACTACCTCGATCCTCGGATTTCAGTTGCTTGGTAAGATGTGTTGTATTGGTCTAGCAGAATATCATTCATTCAAAAGATCATATTCCTTATGGCTATATGTATATATAAGCCTCTTCACAATTTTCAGCTTCGTTTGACGTCTGGAAAATGACGCTAGTGGTCATTCAAAGCACCCACCAGGAAATTGTTTTTGGTGAATCGTTCGCAAATCCACCACACTAATGCTCAAATTAAAGCTCAAGCTTTCATTTGCGTTTATCATATTTTTAAATGTTTGCTTAGGGTCATTAACTATTTTCTCGGTGTGAGATGTTCCTCCAGAATTTCGACACCATTTAGAGTATTTAGTAGAAATATTGGCATTTCGGAACAGATTTCTCATCCTATTTCAATTCAATACATTCAGCATTCATTTCAGACTTTACATATTAAACATTAACAAAGAAATAAGTACACGAGCTTAAAACATTCCACATAATTTAAATATCTAGTGGATTTCATTTATGGAATAGGTTGGAGAATGTCAAACAAGTTTTCTGTATTATCGTTAACAATGGACTGTCCAGGAGCTGATTCTAGAAAACGGTGTAAAACAGTAGATCTTAAACTCAGAACTATTTAATTCTTATCTATGTGATCAGTCGTAATTGTTTCGCCACATGTATTTTCGCTTTAGACTTCTTATCATATCTACTCATGTGGCGAGTTGATACTTTCGTGGCACTATATTTTTCAAATACGATAGCATCAGCTATTGTTATAGGTTCACTAGAAAACACAACTAATAATTTCGTCATGCTATATGTAAAAATGTCCAGCGCTGAACAGCCTAAGGTCGAAATTCTTTCACATGTTTTTTGTTCTCTCATGGCTAATAAGAACATCAATAATACAACTCGTTTGGCCTACCATTTGAAAAAATAAGCGGGAGATGTTTATTTTTCTGAATATAAAGTTAGACTATTATTGCTATATCCTGTTTATACAAATATCACCTTAACTGTAGACCATAAAGGAAATACATTGTGTTGTATTATTACAACCAATTATCCCAATTTCATTTTTCTCGGTTCCAATCAGCTCCACATGTGTTGATCTTTGTTTTTGCTAGTTATCTATTTTCAAGTCGCAATTATTTTGTATTCCTTTTAAAAAGGTGTAAAAAGTATAACGTTCCTATTGAGAAAATTTTTAACAGAACTCAAAGAGAAAAATTCCAATGGGCAATAGATATGGCTACATGTGACTACAAGTTTTTAGACGTTGATTCAGATAGAAGTACAAACAAACTCAAAGCTGAGGAAAGTGATGATGAAGATATGATTGACGACGAAGACTGAGCAAGAAAAGAAAATACTTCCATACAATGTTTCCAACATTAGTCTATTTCATAATCTTAATTGTATGATTATGTTAAAGTTGTTAACTGGTTCTACTCTAATATGAGTAATCTCCACGTGTATTTTTGTCAGGTCACAAAACTCCAATGTAATTTTATCCTGAAGCGTTTACGGCACATTTGTGTCCTCTTATGTTTTTTGTACTAAATTGTCTCTTCTAAACTCTCATCAAATATACTGGAAACCTTTTCAAACAAATCCAGACGATTTCGCTTTCTTGATAACCATGTAGGAATTTTGCAATGTTATACTTAGTATATTATGATGTTATAATGGCAACATATACCACTAATTAATAATAAATATTCGCAGCAATAGCTATCTTTCACCATTCTTTGTGAATGAATATAATGTATTTTCACGAAAAATGAGTTTATCATGCCTTCAAATCTTTGAATGAAATACCTTTTACGACTCTGAAGGTAGTTGTTTCACTTCAGGATTTCTATTACTTTCCCGTTTTTCTTGTATTAGCTTTATCATGCATTCACTTATTGTATGGGATCTATGTACGTATAATTTAGTGTGAAGCCACATTATCTTTACTCGATCATTTGTGTTTTTATGTATTTACTTATTACTGATTTTTCATGATAGTTCATTTACGGAAACCTTGGTGTTATTACAGTAATGAATTTTGTTGTATTCATTTTGAATATACTGTTCATGTGATAACCTGTTAACCATTCTTTTTCCCTGGATTGTTTAGAGTAGCTTCGTATGGGTCCTTAACATATTAACTATAGTTACGTACATATTAGGTACCTCAATAATCATTGATATCACAGTACTTTTAATTCACGATGTAATATATTGTATGCACCCTTTCTTCCTTCCATATCGAATAATCATGGATAAAAAGTGACGGTATCGGTATGCCATACCCTTTAACAGTTCAGCACATGATTACCATCCGGACTACACATTTTATACTATCGAAACATGTTTATGCTCAAATAGTCACTGATAATTTATTTACAGGGATTTATTGATGCAGCTATTTTAGACTACTTCACTCCCTATCCTTAGTTCAGATGTTCATGCAGGCCAGTCTTGAAGCAACTTGGATTTGGAGGGGGAGAAATGCATCTCAAACATTCTGGCATTGTTGCTCAGTGCTACCAAAACTCCGCATTTTATCAGCGTCCTCACCAAACAGGACCATACCATCTGTGAATTCTAGGTCAATAAGTGAACCTCCTGGAAAGGGATCGATTCCCGAAAATTCAGACGACGAGAACGTTATTTCCGGCAGTAGGTCTTTGACGAAATTAAACAAAAACAGGTAGTGGACAACCTTGACGGACACCACTTGAGGTTGCTAAATTAGATCACAGTTCTCCATAAGTTCTTACTCGACTAGTGGTGTTCGAGTAAAGAGCCTTCGCAAGATTTATGTACTTGTGAGGTACATCTTTCAATGACAAACATTGCCACAGAACCTCTCGGTCTACAGAGTGAAATGTTGCTTTTGAGTCAAGAAAAACTATCATTGTCGGACGCCGATAAGCATGCATGTGTTCTAGTATCTGACGAATGGTGAATATGTGGTCGATACAGACACGACCAGGTCTGAAGCCAGCCTGGATTCCTCGTGTTTGCATTTCACGAGTCTGTCAGGCGTCCGATAATTACTGAGGTTAGTATTATAGATGCTACGTTAGTCAAACTAATCCCTCTATACTTACCACAGGATGATTTCAGCCTTTTCTTTATGTATTGGGACTCAGTGATTGCGACCAGTCAGATCGGATTACAGCCAATTCACAAATTTTAGCTAAAATATTAGTCAACCTAATCGCTAAGACTGAACCACCATACTTGAAGACCTCTGGAGCCAATCCATCTGGACCAGCTGCTCTTCTTCGTTTGTTTGGGAATGGTGGGTAGTTGTAGAGTAGCTCAAGGCCAGCTGAACTGCTCCTTAGAGTGTTCCAAACGTTTGGGCTGATAGCATATAAGTGTCCTCGTTTTCCGAGATAGTTTCATTTACACTTGACTTCTTAATTCTAGTTTCTTTTATTAGTCTGAAAAGCTGTCTGGTGTTACCTACAGCTACTGTCTATTCCATCTCTTTTGCTTTCGTTGCCTACCACTACTCACGGTCGTTCCTTAGACTTTTGCTTACCCAAGATCTGATATTTCATCGCTCTTCGTGTTGAGTCTGATGGGATGAGTTTACGAGAATCCATCAGTGCAATAGACCTTGAGGAAATCCATTGGTTCTTTTTAACCCTGTAGTTTAAATCACTAACAGATGTCGCTGCTGTTCCCATAGCTGCTTGTGTGTCTTTCCAAGCAACATCTGGGTCAGCCTTGTTTTCAGAACTACCTATGTGTGACCTCAGTTGTTCCTGGAATATGCCTTTGGCCTTCTCATCGTTGAGTTCAACTCTAATGGGTCTCCTTAGTATGATTTCTGCGTTTAGTGAGGCGCAAGCAAATATGTGCTCGTATTAGAGCTTGGTCAGAGTCTAAACATGTACTCCGAGACGATTGGCAGTCTTATATTGAGCCTCTCCAACGATGACTAATGGCAATGTGTTCTATCTGAGTCCATCGTTGGTTTGGTGCAGGAGGTTGCCATTGTCCCGATAAGCATAATGAATGGTAACTTTTGTGATCCATTTATGGACCAATAATAAACGTATATTTTTATCGTATAATTGTTAAATAACTAAACTATGCATATTCACATTCTTCTTATCATAAGCTTTATTTTGACCTATGAACTATTATTATACGTCTTACCATTCTTGAATTATGCCCTGTCTATTAATCACTACCTCTCTCATTCACAGCCACTTTTGGCCAAATCTTATACAAATGTTATTTTCTATTTTATGGTACGTTGTGGTCTGTTTGTTTGGTATATAAATGATTCGTATCGCAGAGGCTGGGATTGATGTTCTGGACTTAACTGGCTGGGCTAGGCGGAAAACAAGACCAATAAGGACTCTAGACTGCTCGTACGTGTTTACGCGTCATTGGTCTGGTCGATAATTCACTGTTCTCTGATTGGCGGTATCACCACGTTATACATAAACAGGGCGCGCAGGTTACAAGTTGTAACAGCCATGCTAGACGATGCCCTTACTTATGCTTAATATTAGTGCTTGCTAAAAATGAACGATTATCTGAGATCAGTTGCAACAGGTGGTCACCGTTATCTGTTCGTCGAGCCGGAATACTAAAGTCTTTCTATTTAGTTTGAGCTACCTACCTGAGTATTGAAGTCACCTGCTACGAGTACTATATCTGAGCGTTTACCTTTCTGAAGAAGTTCGGACAGCTTTCTGTAAAATTCATCTTTCACATCATCTGAGCTGCAGTCAGTGGGAGCGTAGGCAGAAACGACGAAAAGGCAACGACGTGTGTCCCTATCCTTCCGAGTTCCTACGGAGCCGTTTAGCCGAACAGGACATAGGAGACTGTTAAGAGGATCCATTCTAACACCACTTGCTCTGCCGTCGTGCTCAGTGCCATGGCTACACCTGCCAGTTCACGAAAACTAGCCATCGGGTCGCTAGATAAACGGGGTGTATATTTCGTCGGTTCCCTGTGTTGGCGGGGTGAGATCAAGTGAATGACCGCACTAGAATCCTGTATGCGTGTTTCGGAGATACAGCATACATCAATGGTACGAGATTCTAGGATTTTAGCCAAGGAGGCCTGCTGGGCGATTTGACATAGTTTGTGTACGTTGAAGGCTTCAATGTGTAGTTTGGAGCGAGGTTTCAGTAGACCTGCGACAGTGTTTCGCCTACTAGAATCGTTGGCCATGATGACACATGAGAAGGAAGCCAAAAGGGGAAGTTTAGAGTTGAAAGTCGAGGTAGGTGGAGTAACAGGATATGAAGAGTGAGGTTGGTTATTAATACAGTGGTCTTGAGTGCTGTTAGGGGTGTGAGGTAGGTTATCACTTCCTGGTTGCCCATGCTGTGAAGGGTTCTTCTACAGGTACCTGAAGAGGAAATTGGATTAAGGGTGGTCTTAGTGACCTGAGAGCGTGACCGCAGTGCCCAAGGGACAACTGCTTGAAGCCGGTCACATACGGCCTTTTATGAGTAGCTTTCGTGTTAGCTCCGTAATTGATGAGGCCTTACTATCGGTGCGGAAACCCGTGGGATAAGGTGGTGTGCATTTTTAGGACCGGCCTTTTCTAACCCCATTCCTCCTTGTGGGAAGGCAGCATCGCTGTTACGTTGGTTGTCTGAAGGAAATACCTTACAGCTGTCACACTGTACAGTCAGCAGTACGACTTCGCCCTCGATCTTTAGGTTTGCTTCTTTTAGTCTTACCACTCTTCAACTCACCTGTCTGGCATGGTAGGACCTTGAGGAACGATTGTTCCAGCCAGTATAGCTCGGTTAGTTCATTAAGATAGGCAAACCCGACCACCACTTTTGGACTTTACCATGTGCTGTTTAAAATTATTTCAGAAGAACGACTAAAGCATCAGGGTTGTTTTCTTTAAGAAAATGTGTAAGTGTAACAAGAATTTTTTGTTTATAGTGGCTGGATACACAATACAGGAATAGATACAGAAATCAATAAGGAAACAGTATCTTGAAGTTATTGTTATGAATTACGATTTCATAGGTAATGCATAGTTTGATGACTGTCAAAATGAGCAATTAGGACGGTGATCAATAAATAATAGTAGTTTTTTCTAATAAAATAAAGTGCTTATACACGAACCATTTACAAAGGTATGATTCGATGTTATAAGTAATTGGAAGTTGTCAATTTCATGGTCACTATAATTACTTGTAATCTGACTTTGGCTTGATTCTTGCCCACTTTATATATGCACTCCCGGACTCAATCGAAGTCGAGAATTAATTGCTCAGGAAACGACTTCGATTAAGCGCGTTCATTAATTATTGTGGCTCTGGAGGAGATTTGAACGTTTACTTTAGCTGCATGCATCCAAAGAATCTCAGACTTAAACAAACAGACAGAAATTATACTGGTGACCAAAATGCTAAATTCATTGAATTTCCACGTTTCATGGGGTTTGTATTGTGTTTGTGTTGTTTGGTAGCCCTATATTCTGATGTTTGTCCATTTGAGGTCTTCGGATCAACAATTGTGTTTTCGTGAGAGATTGTTGCACGGTCACATTTCAAATAAATGAAAAAAGTCGATCGGACACTCGTTCATGGTATACATTCCTGGGTATAGCAACTAATTGAATGTAAATTATGACTGAGTAAATTATCTTAAATTCAAATAAACCTGTCATCGTGCTGAACTCTCCATGTTATCACGTCTTTGATTGACGGCAAGTGTGTACAATACTCATTTTGTATATTTAGATTACTATTCCCTGTGAGACAAGCATATCTTGCGTTTCACCGACCAATTAATTCACCACTGTAAATTGGTTGACGTCAATCAGCCCCACTTTGGCACTAAAATATCAAACCGAACTAGATCCTAAGGAAGCTTACACCTGCCGGAAAATTGTTACTGAACATTTGGTGTTTTTACAACGTGCCATAGAGATATTCTGTAACTTCGTTTGGGATTCCGCAAGACGTGCGTTACATAACTTTTTTCCAACTTCTTGATGCATATCGGCCTATTCCGAATGTTTGCGAATACAGCAGTGAGCATAAATCTTATACTCGCTGATCACTGTGCCTAGTGACTTTTCTGTGTTCCGTTCCAGTCAA